GTCACATCCACCTCGGAGGAGGAAGATAGATGAAGCGTCTGGCTCGTTCTTTCTCGCGGGGGGGGGCCACAGTCTGCACTGTGCGTCGGCAACAGCGGGACCGCTGCCAGCGGGATCGCGAGCCTGGCCGCTGTCATCAAACACAGCCAGGCGAGAACGGAGCATATGCAGCGAGAGCTCGCAGTGATGACAATCAGCTGCTCGAAAGCTGACCGTGCATGCTTCGCTCCTAAACAAACGACACACAAATTGTGTGTATCCCCCGCCGCCAGATATCGTGGGCAGGGAGAAACACAGCGTTTGTAATGCCGTTCACTCGCCATAGACTTTCTCTTTGTTTTATATATATGAGTGCTTGTGCGGACAGACAACAGTAAATAGACAGACACATACACATAGCGCTACTGAAGGGCAGAAGCTGGTTTGCGCCCGGCCGGATGTGCTTTTATGCTTTCTGGTGCTTACGTCACCCTGCTCGTGACGTCTCGCTGCTCCATTGGACGGATTTCACACGTGCTTCAGAACGCGGTCACGCACCCCCAAAGCGACTCGACGCAGCTCGAGTTCCTGAAGGGGAACTCCTATTGATTTCAATTTAATAGTTTTTTTTTCTTCAAAGCAAAAGACTTGTTTGCATAATCGAGGGGCCACAGTACATTTAATCAAAAGGGAAAGGATAATAAAAACATTAATATACTAGTATACAGATTTTGGTTTATAGGATATTATACTGTACTGTGAAATTTGATATTGTTTTATCTAGGGCTGCACGATAAATCGCATGCGATATTTAATGCGCATCTTGTCAGAAAGTACAGAACGGGCTCAGCGGTAAATCGATTTCACACGTGCTTCAGAACGCGGTCACGCACCCCCAAAGCGACTCGACGCAGCTCGAGTTCCTGAAGGGGAACTCCTATTGATTTCAATTTAATAGTTTTTTTTTCTTCAAAGCAAAATACTTGTTTGCATAATCGAGGGGCCACAGTACATTTAATCAAAAGGGAAAGGATAATAAAAACATATTAATATACTAGTGTACAGATTTTGGTTTATAGGATATTATACTGTACTGTGAAATTTGATATTGTTTTATCTAGGGCTGCACGATAAATCGCAAGCCCGCAGGTGATGGAGATTTACCTTTGATTACAGAACCGGCTCTACTGATAAGATGCGCGTTAAATATCGCATGCGATTTATCGTGCAGCCCTAGTTTTATCCCTACTTACCTGAAGTACAGATATATCAGGCATATCTCCACTCAGGCTTTTGTAGAGTGTGCTCCTGTGTGGAACATAAAATTTCATGAGTGGAAAGTGGCATATCCACACAGGTATTTTACTTTAAATATGCAACATATTGTAAAAAATCTACAATATTCAGCTTTTACCTTACTCCCTCTGTTGTTGCTCTAGACTTTGGTTTAGCAGACAGCACAACCATCTTTTCCACAGGGCCTGGCTTTATACCTATCAAGTTATTCAGGATACAGTTGGAAATTAAATGTACACTGAACAAAAATAAAAACGCAACACTTTTGTTCTGCACATTTTAGAGTGGCCTTTTATTGTGGCCAGCCTAAGGCACACCTGTGCAATAATCATGCTGTCTAATCAGCATCTTGATATGCCACACCTGTAAGGTGGATGTATTATCTTGGCTAAGGAGAAGTGGTCACTAACACAGATATAGACAGATTTGTGAACAATATTTGAGAGAAATAGGCCTTTTGTGTACATAAAAAAAGTCTTAGATCTTTGAGTTCAGCTCATGAAAAATGGGTCCAAAAACAAAAGTGTTGCATTTATATTTTTGTTCAGTTAATTGCTCACTAACACAGATTTAGACAGATTTGTGAACAATATTTGAGAGAAATAGGCCTTTTGTGTACCATAAAAAAGTCTTAGATCTTTGAGTTCAGCTCATGAAAAATGGGTCCAAAAACAAAAGTGTTGCATTTATATTTTTGTTCAGTAAAGTTTGAAAATATAGCCAACAGGTCTATACTTATAATGCAAACTTACCAAAGTTCTGGGCTTGTGCCACTGCTGTTCCCCTTCAGTACAGCTCAGCACAGGAGGGACCACTGGCACATTCAGCTGTGAGTAATGTGTTGACTGGAACAGCAAAGCAACAGAGTGGTTGCATAATGCTGCTCCAGCAACACATGTGCAGCTGTGTTGAATCAGCTCAACAGGACTTGACTCTTTTAGTACCACCTGCACAAGTAAAATATCATAGTAAATACTTATTTATCTTAGGTTGGTCAGTTTAATCAAGGACGTAATCTTTAAAATATTTTAGATCTAATATTCTATACAAACAGACCAAATGTCATGTATTTCTATATGTTGGATTAGATTATGTTGTGTAATGTTACAACAGCTTTCGATCAAAATCCATAATCGTTTATTTGAAACATGATAGCCTAATACCTTTAACACAAGATTAGGCCCTGCGTCTTAAATGAATGAATCACTGAGTTGAGGAAAACTTGAACAAGAACGTATTTTACCCGGAGTGGACTGGCTAGGTAAACTTACCTGCCTACTAAAACTGTTTTCATTAGATTTGAAAGTTACATTAAACCTGAATGACCTTAGCTCAATCCTCTGGAACATCAGGAACACCGGGTTCTAATAAGTAATAGTTAGAATAAATAAAGTTATAACATGAACAAGAACACATGCAGTAACCCGAATGGGTAACAGCAAGGTATACTCACCTGTCAATTTTACGTACTAATTTAAGAGTTATATTAAACATGAATTACCTTAGCTAAATCCCCAGGAACATTACAAACGCCGGGTTATTAAAGTAACAAGCCTATAACTGTTGGTTTATAAGTCCTAGCATCACCATACACTCAAACTGTGAGGTTTCTCAGCTTTCCTCATGGATCTGTAGCACAATGACCTGACAATGACTTCACCTGTGCCCTGATCTTTATTAGAAACTGAGAGGGTAAGAAAGTTAATGCAGCTGATAATTCTATACTAACGTTACACTAAAAAATAAACACGTCGCTAACTAGCTTAGCCGCTAGCTGTCGGCACAACACATTAGATTAAACTACATACCCTCGTAGTTGTGGATATAACTCGATATGTAGAATTTGAATCCCTTGTTCCGCTTGCTTGTTGGAGCAGGGGACCAGGCATCAACGATGCGGTGTATATCGCTAATGCTTATTTTAGGCAGATCTTGAAGACATCTTGTAAACACTGACATTTTGCGCAGTGCTAGAGCAAACCGGAAGCTGACATCCCGACTTCTGGCGACAGCGGAAGTTCGTTGCTACGCTTGTGCACAGAGTCTATTGCTACTCAAAACTAGCCCAAAACTACAAAACGAGGCAAGTGTTAAAGTAGCTCAATTCCGCGGGAAAACAGTGGACTTGGCAACACTGAGCGTGACTGATACTCGAGCCAACTCTGCTCTAACTGTCGATTAGCAGTGGGAGTCAGATTGCCCCCTAATGGATGGCTAAAGATTTGTTAACACATATTCATAAATTCTCAAGAGAACGTCTCTGAATTAACTGATGCTCGCGCCCCCCTTGACAGGTGCTGGCGCCCCCCCACCCCACAGGTTGAAAACCCCTGGTTTAGAGCATAAGAAAAAATGTGAAAAATAAGATTTTTGAAAAATTATATTTTATTCATAAGTCATGCCATGTCCTCTATAGAGGACATCGGGACTTTAAAAAGTCCTGTTTTAAAAAAAAATAAAAATAAAAAGACATGAATAGGCATGAAAAGGCAAAAAACTGTGATTTCTGTTGTGATCACAAATCAATTTTCATTTTTTATACCAAATTTATATAAAGATGATTCTCAACTATGTTATGAAAATTTTTTTAAAAAACATTTTTCTTTATGCAAAATGTGTGTAAAATGGCCATAAACGAGTCAAGAGAACGTCTCTGAATTAACTGATGCTCGCGCCCCCCTTGACAGGTGCTGGCGCCCCCCCACCCCACAGGTTGAAAACCCCTGGTTTAGAGCATAAGAAAATATTTGAAAAATAAGATTTTTGAAAAATTATATTTTATTCATAAGTCATGCCATGTCCTCTATAGAGGACATCGGGACTTTAAAAAGTCCTGTTTTAAAAAAAAATAAAAATAAAAAGACATGAATAGGCATGAAAAGGCAAAAAAACTGTGATTTCTGTTTTGATCACAAATCAATTTTCATTTTTTATACCAAATTTATATACTGATGATTCTCAACTATGTTATGAACATTTTTTTTAAAACCATTTTTCTTTATGCAAAATGTGTGTAAAATGGCCATAAACGAGTTTTTACCATAATATACAATGTATCTATAAACTGTATCTAATTTGCGTATTAATGTGTTTTTGGTGCAACATAGAATGAACAAATAAGTGAAATAATGGGTGTAATAATTAGCAAGATTTTCATAAGAATACTTAATATTCAATAGGAATATTGATATATAATTTTTTCTCTATTAATTTGTTGTGTCTCCCAAAATGTGTAATAAACATGCTTTAAGTCCTGGTGTCCTCTACAATGGACATGTATGAAATCGATGTACTGTTTCATAATGTAATGTGGGATTTGGGTTTTGTCATGTTCATGTTTTCCATGTCTTTTATTTTGTAATTGTTTCCTGCTGTTAGTGTCATGCTTCCCTTGCCCTCATGTATCTCTGCCTTGTGTATGTGTCATGTTCTGATTGGTTGTTTTTAGTCATGTGTCTTGTTTCCCATTGGTTTGTTCTTGTCCTGTGACCCTCTTGTTTGCTATAAGTAGCTGTAGCGTCTGGACCAATCAAACACACAATTTTTAATTTGATTTAACAAATCAGTTATTCATTAGATTAACAAATCGTCACAGTCCCCTCACACAATAAACTGGATGCCAGGATGTCTGCAACGACACCAGGCCCCCCTAGTTACCATGGCAACCCTGACACCAGATACATTTACGACCTAATGGAATGTGAGCAGGGAAAATCACTGCATGTTCCATAGCAAGAGGCAAATGCACAGTAGAAATGGACTTTTCTACTAATTAATTCAGAGGAAGACCTTTCTTTGAATGAACACACATATCCTTTAGGTCATGGTGTATGTTGTCTTTGAGATTTTATACTGTTTTATGCAGGCTTATGATGGAAACACTCATGTTCACCATGTTTAGTATCTATGAATTTGCCTTCTGATGATCTAAACGAGCGTGTATATTATATGTTGGTACATAGGCAATATATTAGTGTCCTGAGAACCTTTAGTAATTTCGATTCAAGTTCCATTTGCAAAGTACCATGCCCTCACACAAAGGGTTATAAAAACTCCCCCAGTATTTCAACACCCACTTGGGACGTCAGCCTTTCTCATTGGACAAGCCCATTTTGAGAGGCGGGAATCTTCCAAGACATTAAAAGCCCCACACTAGGGACCCGCCCAGAGTCGGTGGTTCGGCTAGACTCTAAGATGAAGACATGAGCTAGAACGCTTCTGCAACCCCCTAAGTACGTGCCAGGCTTCGGCCTTGACTTTTCCATTCAACAAGATTCTCTGACTCAAACTGGTTCTTTTTCATCAACCAACTTCAGCAAAGATCAACTGGGACCTTCAGACTGCATCAAGCCTTTCTTTCAGACAGACGAGA